TTTCTTTCAGGAAACAATTTATTTATGTTCCTTGAAGCAAAAATAGCAACAAATGCATTATTTATCCGGTAACTACTATAAAAAACGCAGACTATTATATTAATTATAGCAATAAATATAGATGGAATTTGCATAATGCCAATCGTGCATCGTTTCATAATATGCAAAACTATACGAAAGCAATTTATATAAAATGTCGATTATTCTAGAGATGAGCAGAAAAATGAATAGCACACAACTAGAACACGCTGCACAAGCTGCTTTGATCTTCAACGTACTAAATCAGTCTGTTTATAAGCAGCAGTCAGTTCATTGCGTGCTTCCAACTCCCCATGATTTCCAAACTACCCGTATGTTTGAAATATTGATGACAATGATGAATATTTCATTCTTAATTGTTAGCCACGCCACGATGTAAGTTGCCATGCAATCACCTTACACCCACTATTTTCGCAAAACTAATTGTAACGTCTCCAAAGACTCTCTCTGTTTATATACAAATTATCTATTAATAAATTTCGATTGTTGAAAAATCTTTTCTCGTCGAAGGAAGGAAGATAAGAAAGAAAACAATTTTTAATCGAGGAACATAAATTGTATAAAAAGTACAAGTAATAATAAAAGCAAACAGGAATGAGATTGAGTAAACACTAAGAAAATCCTTTCAACGTCTTCCATCACAAACAGGTGATAAGTAATTTTGTGAAAAACCATAGAAACCCTGTCATCGATCTTCGGTGTTGACACACTTTCACCTGAGAGGTAAGCAAAACTATTACTGTGTAGTGGTTCAGGTAGACGGCAGATGGCGCCACAGTAAGAGGTATTACCCTAATGCGAAGGGAATCACGAAATATACTTTGCTTATCTACAGCGAATGATGGAGTGCTCGGTATTTTGATAACAATCGGACTCTATTTTCAACAGTGATGGATTATTAGTTGATAAGTAATGTGTTCTGGATGTATTGAGATGCCTAATCTAGCTGGACATCACGTAATGATATACTTCACCGCTTTCCTCGTAGCTTACTGCTATCCATTTAATCGCTGTACCAAATTCGGTACTCGAAATCGAACTATGTGGCAGCGCACGAAAATTCTGCTATCAACTCGAAGATAAACGCCAGATAATGAGCAATTATCTAGCAAAAGCAGAGCGTACACAATTGTCCACCATTATCTAAGCCGTTATATTTACAGGGTAGGTAGAAGATAGAATTATTAGGAGTATTGTAGTTAACTGGACGGAGAATGTCCATAAAGTGGAGATGAGGAAATTAAGCATTGACTAATTTCGGTATACTAGGGGATAAATCTAATAAGAGTGGTAATTATAGACATACTTATATCAAATTTTCCGGTTTATAGATTTTGTCAGGCATTTAAAGCGTGAAATAATATATATATTTGTTGTAGATGGAAGACATTCTTCAGAATATAAGCACGAACGGTATCCATATGATGCAGATTAATGTAGTATTCAAAGTTAATTACACAGTTAGTTATGTTGTGCAACTCTTTAATATGATTTCGAAATTAATAATATGTTTGACAACGTTTAGAATAAATTAAATATGGACGCTTGGCTATTCAACTTCGTAATTATAATCGATAAAACATTCTTTATAATGTTTACTAATTTCACTAAAGCTAAATATTTGTTTTTATGATAAAAATTATTTGAATGTATATATTTTTTCTGTTATTCGTTGGCAATGTAAGCAGGAAATGTTAAATCTGTGGCTATTACCGAGTTAAAAATAGCTTTGTATGCCTGGAGAGATGCTTCTCCTACAAGCATAAAAGCCATAAAGGGAAGCTACATTTACAGGCATCGATGAGCGAAGCAGGTGTGATTTTCTCATGAAAGGTGATGGTGGTATCTCCATCAATCATGACATTAAAGCATCTATTGGACAAATGGCCGTTATTCCCTATAACGCTTTGTTCTGATGAACCTTATTAATTAAAACGATACAGTCTAGTTCTCGACTGGAGTTCACATTTTACAAATTGTGATTTATAATTTAAGTAGGTAACATTTCGTTTGCGGCATTAATAAAAATAATCGTGTGCCGTCTGTACCTGCATTATTTAATAAAGTCAAATTAAATAGTCGATATTCGATTTAGCAGCTTTCAACTTTACTAAAGCTAAGCTAAACGAAATAAATCCAGATTAATTTTAAATATTAAAACTATTCTAGAAACTATTCAAACATTTGTGAAAGGACATACACCCAATTTCATTTTAAGAGGAATTTCTGACCTCATAATTTATGTATACAAGCATTGTTTACTCAATAAGCAATGATCCAAAAGCACGGAGTTAACATTCTCTGCAAAAACGGTTTGTTGCACATATTAACGTATGCTTCCAAGTTTATATATAATCTTATCGTTTATCTTGTTTACGATCACGTGAAGCAAAATTATTGGAGTGAAATTTGTTAGAACGCATCCATAAAAATTTTTATGATTAAATTCTTTCACGTCATTTAATAGTCTTTTGCCATTATGTTCGCTTCATACAATAATGGCCCTCTTAATTATAATGCTCTTGTTTTCTATCAAGTTTTCTGTTAGATTATAAATCAGAAAATGTTCACTAAGTAAATTAAAGTATATTAGGCATACAGTCATTGTTTACAATTAATTAAAACTACAATTCGATGAGATTTTAATATGATGCGATAATAAAAGTCTATTGACAAATGGATGAGTTTTCGGTTTAAATTATTAGAGGGAAAACGGATTTTAAATCTGTTTTCCTCGTCCTCAATTTTCTCTGTATAATTTAAATCAAAATAAATTATTACTGCTATTACTATTGTAGATAGAAATATAAAAGAGCTGAATGTCTCCATGACAGCTTAGTTGTTGTATAAACACGTTTCGCATCTAACACCTGGATGAAATCAGGAAAAAAAAAGAATTCCTAGGTTCAGCCATGTCTATCCATGCATGTCAATGCAATGTCTGTTGATGCTACTTGAGTAATTTCAACACGCCGCTATTTCAATAGCTTCGAAATGGAATCTCCAGTTCCAACCCCTCTTTCACTCGACTTATCCAGCCGTCTTTTATTGAAGAACTTTAAAGCGAATGGCTTGGAAAAATGGACCAAATCGACGTTAACCATGCGAAAAACGCCTCCCACGACATTCATAAAAATTGAATTTCTTGCATATAATGTTACGCTTACTAAATCGTTTCGACATCACTTTCAGATTCGGATTAAGCAATAACAATTACTGGGTTTTCACTCTCTTGTTCTTATTCCAATTTTTTACGCCTTTGAATTATTTTACTCTATTCTTATTACATAACAGTTTCTGCTTCATGTAAATTAAGAAAGTAAACTAGACTATAATTACTTTTTATAATTACCACTCAGTTTACGGCTGTATAAATTCTTATTTTCATTATAATAAGAGTAAACATTGAATTTACATTAAAAATCGGATAATAAACCCGATTTGTTAAGCTAAAATTGTTCTTTATCCAAAGACAACGAATCAATTCTTTATATGGATTATTTCCAAATTATAAAGCTAATTTTAAAAGAACAAATCTAAAAAAAAGCTTTAAAAGACTTTAGAGGATGAAAGGAAGTTTGTCTGGAGTACACTGATTACAACGTTTATCCCTGTAAGAGGATACTGAAATTCATGATTCAATGAGATTTTCACGTCAATAATGGGGTAGGGTTACATTAAATTCCTATTAATTATCTCCTGTCTAGAATGTGAGAAGGAAAATAAAATTAGACAAATTTTAACAAATTACACTGTCTATTGCTAATCATATATTATAGTTTTGTAGCTGTACAAATGCTATTGTGACATGAAAATATCGCATCTCGCTCGACATTCGACAGAAGAATGCGATTTAATGAGAAAAGCCGATCTGGTTGACGCCGAACAAATGGATTGATTGCTACAGCACAGAGAGGATAAAGACTAAAAGAGTGTTTTAGTCAGAATTAGAAAGAAGCAAATCGTATTAGAAGCAGGTTTAAGGGTAGAGAAAAAAGCTTGATTGGGTTAGCTATGCCGTATTTGAGAGAACACCATATTTCAGGTCGTCACACACTATTCGATTGATTGGTCAAGCACCCACAGCTGGGTTTGTTAACTGAAGAAAGTTCATTAGCCTGCTTTTAATAGCAAACAGTTAATTACTACAACACACATCTCTCTAGCTGGTACTTTAACACGTATAGTCTATTAGCAATCGTTCAACACTTTTTTGTCAGATCAATATGCAAATTGCTTTACTCCCTCCTTCTCTCTCAGATGCTGCTAAAGACTTATGTTGCTTTGCTTTTCACGCGGGAGTTTGTTTAATGTAAAACGGTTTTGACTTTCAGATGACGTATGTTTGCTTTTTTTCTAACTTTAAATAAATGTCGAGCTGTACCCTTATACCTGCTTATGTTAAGAACTTGATTCTAGTAGAGAAGGAGAAAGAAAAAAGATCTTTAGCAGTTGTTTTGTTTCAAGAATGCTGAGACTCCTGATACTTAAAATGGTTTACACTTATCGAATATATAAAAATAATAAGGTCGGATATATATATATATAGGCTATATATTTAAATTTAAATAAATTATACGTTGCGCTCAAGAGACTTGACTTCAAAGTTTTTAAGAGACAAATGACAAAAGTTATATATATATATATATATAATTTTTTTCATTTGAACTGCACTCTTTTTATTGTCGTTCAAGTAAGCGTAATAGAAGTTTCAATGTGTTTCAGATAAAGTTTTACGGCTCTTCCACCTCTCAACTGTCTCGAGTTTATATAAATAAATATCAAAGCAGAGTATTTTAAAGTGTAATATATTTTTTGAGTGGGTGAAAATCTATTGATCAGTCAGATTTCGGTCTTGATATATTGGTCGTTACTTAATGGAGAAATTGTATGCTATCAAATCATCACACGCGGTTCGAATTGAATCATTGAGGATAGTAAAGTGGCTCTTAAACACTCACCTGGCAAAAAAACTAGCCGCTGCTGATGGCTGTTGAATTACATCGTAACTACTAGCACAGGGTGAACTAAATGATGTTCCTTGTAGCAGAGAATGGTGAGAATAGCCACTGAACGATAAAGAATGAGGTATAGTATTTGTAGGAAGATCGTAACACACGGCAGAAGTGGAACTGTGGCTGAAGTAGGATGAAGTTGGTGGAGGATAGCCCCCAGTTGCTGCTAATGTATGAGATAGTAGGGCCATAGTTTGTTTGCTGGAATTATAGTCTTGTTGATTTGGGCTGTTGGTTCTCGGCAGAGAATGCCCAGTCGGTGTCACCGGTGAAGGAAACAGCATCTAAAAATAAAAAAAACAAGAAAAAAATGTTGAATAAATGATTATCATTATGTCTTGGCTACACTTTATTAAAAAACCTCTTTAAAAAGAAGAGATGATGATACATCCTGAATAATTTACACTTTTCGTGTAGATAATAAAAACACTAAATTATTCTAAGAAGGAGTGCTGATAAAGAATTAGTTTCTCACCGAATATTTTATGTTAGCTACAAGCAAAATGAAAAATACTAAGAAGAACAATGAATGCCAGAGACATAGCTCACAGGTTAAAAACATATTGAGATCCACGTTCGTCTACACGTTACATATTGTACAGTACGTAGGTGGTCTATTCGAAGGTGAAAGGTCGAAGGTGATGGCACGTGATGACAGGTAATATTTGCAATCCGAACTGCACCAACTCGTCACAGAATGTCCTCCCCTGGGTGATTACCAAGGAAGTGGGTCCTTTGCTCTTATCCACATACGTGACGGACATGGCAATGTTGTCTGGGGGAAATACTTTTTAAAAGGGAAACACAACACCGGTATGGCAGTAGATGTTACGTGACTGGTGCAAAGCCAGCCACAATCATGCAACCTCTCTTCCAGTCCTCGGGGAGTATGGAATAACACATAGCGCTATACACATTGACATGTGACAAATTGTGGGTCCTGACACTGGATTGACTAGGTGCCGGAGCAAAAAAGAGACATTATCTCTAGGGACCCTCCGTAAAAGGGAATATCTTTTGAATGGACAAAATGAAAGATTGTATCTTGACAGACTTTTGTCTTCTAGGCTTTAAAAAAGTCATTTCAGTTATTTCCACAAGGATCTAGTCAATTCGGTTTCGCAGGAGATATAAGACGAAAAGAAATTAATTAGTGGTTGATTTAAGAAGACTCAGAATCGATATGTGGATCAGAGAATCTATACAAGTTAGCAAGTCAACCTTTGAGGAATATAATATTAGGTGCGCTCTGAATAAACAGGAAAAATGAATGATTTTTATCGAATATGTACATTTTTCATCGATCTGTGCTCCTTCTACGTACTTATCTCACAAAACTGTTTTAAGTAAAGAACTCTTCTCGAAAAAGCAAACAAGATATTAAAAACTTTGGCAAAAGGAAAAATAAAAATGGCGTCGGTAACAATGCCCCCTGCCGGTAAATTGCAAACTTAATGGCTAGAGTGCACCCCGTGGGTCAGCCAATCATCGTAAAACTCTTTGCTTTTTTTCTACACACCGCTAGCTAATTATTTAATCTCCTCCATGACACAACGACATAAATCTTCTAAAGAGGTGGCTCTTATCTACTTTATTTCCTTGTCCAGTCAAATAGAGCGAATTAATTAAGGTCATTAGAAGGCAAAGGACGGTGGACAACTCATTAGAAATTGGCTCTGCGTGATTCGAGAGAGGGGGGAACCATTAACAAGCAACGAATGGTAAATGGCCGTCTACGATGCAGAGCCAGAATATTCCTAAAAACACCTTCGGCCTCACAGCTAATTGAGTCTGAGTGTTAATTAAATTGGCTATTTTAGAGGAGATAATATCAACCGTAACGTTCTCTGTGCTCGGTTACAATATCTACTTTCTTCGATAGGAGATTGTCTGTAAGGGCATTTATCTGTGCCCTGTCTTTGGCACTCTCCTCGAGGTAATTCAGCCAAATCTGTTGCAAAGAGGTTTAGGAGGGGGTTTTTCGTTTATGATAAGGAAAACGAAAAATCCCTGCTTTTTCGATTTTTTTCCCTAACAAGTTTGATGTTTGTGTAGAGATTGATGCGGTGACTGCAGGAGAAGCAGTGCCTAAGTACAAAAGATGCCAATTAATCTTTCTTAGGCGGTTTTCTGTTTTTCTAGTCTTATCTTATTGGCGTGGATGTGTTTATCGAAATAGGAGTATATTATCCTTAAAAGAAATGCATTTTTGGAGTAGTCCTACAGAATAAATGTTGTTTTTATGACTTACATTAAGATAACTCTCAATTTGAAAAGGAGAACCTAAAAACGAGAAAATATAGTTGTTTTTTACTGCAAAAGACAGATGAGGCACATTATGGGTGAATCCATAAAATTGAAAACTTTTCCATTTGTAATCTCCAACTAAAGTTAAAATTTTAAGCTTGCTTTGACGTTAAACTAATGGAATCCAACTATCATTAATAGTATCGTAAGCAAAATCTTCTTTCAAACATCGATACTAGTTTGAGAGGATCGAGCATTAAAACATCTTCAGAAGAATTAATCGTTAGTCTTTTTTTATGAAGAAATTCGAAAAATTTTGAGAAGTTTTTAATAGCTGGTAGATTAATGTTTAATGAGAAACATCATGCTGATATATATTTAACGAAAATCCAATTCCATGGTATATGAAGACATCTCAATACAGACAAGGAGAAGATCTAGTTAGTTTGGAAATTAGATCCAACAGCTGACGTTTGTCGACTGACATCTGAGACAACTGATATTATTCCTCCCTGCGCTTCATACAAAACTGATATGTCAAACAGTCAACTCCACCTGGCTACCGAAGCACACAACACAGCTGCATACTCTTTCATTACATTTGAATCTTACGTTTGACGTGAAAATACTCGGTTACTATCATAAACACTATTGACCCATCCTCTAATGGTTGTGCCGAAGAGTAATGAAGTTTTCTTCCATCAGCTATTCAATATGTTCGGCTGCAAAGCTTTCGGATAGACAAGAAAAGATGACGGAGATCAGATACTGCGGATAATGACGTAACGATCATTACTTACGTGGTAGCAAATATTAGTTATCTGAAAAATCCCGATCGAGTAATTAGTTGCTTATCGATCCGTTTGCTAACCCATTTCTGTCTTCCTAAGGTAATTAATTTTTTAACGTTGATCCTATAATGATTTAATCGGATTTCTCCGCCTAATAAATGTAAAATTCCTCAATTTTCTTCCGAATATCGCGATGGAATTTCAATCAAATTTAAAATCCTCAATTTTATGCTCATACAAACACGAATCGTAGAATTATTAATAATCTTTATACGACCCTTGACAGTTTAATAGAAATTCGATTAGCGCCTTCAAATTATCAATTATAATTTGTTAAAATTCTTTTTAAAATTTAATAAAAGAAAGTTTAAATAATTAAAATATCTCTGAATCATATTTTAAAAAAAATAGAAAAGTATGTTAATGATAAATTTTAATTTCTTGTTTGATACGTAAAACTTTAACTAGGGCCATCGAGAGCTTGTATGCCCGGTAAGGAGCAAAGGAGACCACTGTACCACGAGCCAATGAAATACGTAGAATGTCCCTTTATTAATAAAAATAACATTCATTTGTAAGGGCAGGAACCATTACGGATCCCTAAGTTTTCTCCGGACCCAGGGAAAAATCCCTACCTCCCCTCTCGTCGTCCCTGTTTAACATTGTCAAGTCTTTTCGAGAATTCAGTAAAATTCTATAAATTCTCGAATACATTCTTATCAATTCAATTCAATAGAGTAAAACGGTTTTGCTAGCTCATATAATTTTTCTTGATAGAAATCATGGAAAATATTGATTTCCAATGTGGACAGACAAATCCAATAATGTTGACTTTTAATCACGTTCCCAGAATTATTCAAAGTTCTAACTCATATTTGCACGAATGGGATTTTATAAGAGCAATATCAAAATTCTTTCTGCAAAAGAACCGTATTATAGAGAAGTTTGAAAATTTTATTTCAACACTGTCAATAATAAAACTCTTTAAATTAATTTTAATTATTATGCAAAGCAATCACATTTAAATCACAATTATATCGATCTGAAAATTTAATTACATTAAGAAAATCAAAGTTTTTAGCTTGATTGTGTTTTTAACTTTGGAAATTTCATTTAAAATATTACATTGATTAAATATAAAGTTGCGTAGTTTTGATTTAGACGATTAGATTTTCATTATTTCAGTTATATTCAAATTAAAAACTGATGTTAAGAGGAAGGATAAATAATGTTGAATGTCAGAAAGTCTTACTTTTTAAAGAAGTTTAAATAATCCGAGAAGGAATTATCGATTGGATCTGAAGTAATCTGGGATTTGAGTCGTTACTGTCAGGAACCCTTAGGTGCACTTCGCAGAAGTTTATCCCGTATGAAAGGAGAAATGCAGCCAGTTTGGCTTGTTGCGAGAAGCTAAAAACGGGCGTAGAAGCTCGAAGCATCTGAATGAATCGGTGCAACCAGATGGAATAATCCTTCCCACTTTATATGTCAATGATTTATTATCACATTTTCTGCTGTTTTTTGAAGCTTGAGAAACAGTCAGCACTCTGGTTATTAATGATAGTTGACAAAGCATAGGACACAGAGGGACCCAATGCAGCGTGTAACAGGTTTCCTGAGATGAAAGACCGATCAAATCGGCCGATTGGTGACGATTTTGCAGTGACGTTTTTCTAATGGAACCGTGCCTCGTTGGCTTTAGTGGTTGATCTAACTATTAACCATTGAGAATTCCCATCACGTTTGATTAATGACTAAAAATCTTCACGCACTCGGAACCATTTTGGGTGGAGCTCTCCTGCCCGGTCACGTGTACAGGGGTATCTCGTGCTTGGTGACACCATTGAGTAGATGGTCACGTGACACGTTCGAATTACAAAGTCTTAGTAGACAGCTTTCGGGACGAGTTGGGAAAGTTTTTGATTATTTATCGAGAATATCGAATGAAACCGGCATAATAAGAAAAAGCAGTCGGTGCAGTAAATGCACGATACAGCTAATGTATTTGGGCACATGCGGTTTTGCATGGTTTGTGCTTTCTCTTTATGCGACCACATTCGGTCAAAGAGGGCTTGTTTCTGTTTGAATCGATAAAAGTAAGTAAGCAAACATGTTTATAGGTCTGTTTAGGTAGATTTACTGCATCTATTTGTCTGCTCTTTCAGAAAGCAAATAAAACATTTCTCCGAAACTTTTACTGTTTCTCTGGTATTTCTTACTACTATTTCTACTATTTTATATAAATAAATTTCGAAGATCGCCAGCAGGTTGCTCTTTCCGACAAAATAATGTATTTTTGAATCTCTATTCAGCTTCAAATCGACTACTCTCTCTCTTTTATCTAAACTGAAACCAACTGCTCTTTATAAGTCGATGGAGAAACAATTTTTTATCCAAAGAGGTCTCATAAAAATAAAATTAATCCCGAAAAAAGTCAAAACACTTAAATTTATCATTTAAATTTTTTTTCATCCAAATGGCCAGATGCAGAATGGAAAACTTTTTCTTGCAAGTTTTTTAAACCCAATTTGTCATGTCCTTGGGTGAAATTTTTTTAAATTAGCGCCGATATCTAACCGATCGGACCACACCATTGCCCCGATAGAAGAGAGATAATGGAAACATTTAACTAGCGCTGATAATTAGAAGGCTTTGTTTAAATGACTGGAAGATTGCATAAGGAGTCATTATATGACAATTACTGCAATTTACCAATGCAATTAGTTTCTTCTATAATACATTAGAAATCAAAGTCTGCATTTCGGCATAAGGAATTGGCGAAATTGCAATCATTATGTACTGTACAGAAGACGTTCCACAGAAGAATTCAAATACTAAAATTCTGCTCACAAATTCCAATACAAAATTATTAAAACTCTTACCATCCGAGTAATTTTATAAGGTTAATTCTGTTATCGTAAAAAGCATGACTAATTTATTTATAGATAATTTAATAAACGTCTCGATCGAGTTGCTAGATAATTAATATTGGTTCGAGGATGCTGCTGGAATGTGTAAACTCAGTAGGAGTTCCGATAGGAACCACGTTTAAGAAGCTTTAACTGTTCATTTAAGCATTCTAACTACTCAGATAATTACTGGAAATTTTATACAGTAGGAAAAAATATATTATTGAAGCCATTAATCGTGCAAAACACTCTTCGTACTCTTCTTTAGCATCTTCGTTTAAGATGATAAATTTAAGAGAAGTGCAGGGTAAATTTCATAAGAGGAACCTTTTTTATATAATAAAACATAGAGAGAAAAATCGGAATTTTTTAAAATAACATCACAAATTAGCCAACGACTCGTAACTATCTCATATAATATCAAATTAGAGCCGATGGTTTAGGTCTGATCTTCGCTGGCACGGCTATTATCAACGATATTAAAGTAACGAGCGATATATACGATAATGAATAGCGTATCGAGCGAAAACCGAAAGGTTGCTCACCTGACCCTGCGGTTTCGGCTTCATCCAAGCTTTGATGTTCTGTTCCAAGTACTTCTGCGCTTGCTGAGCGACAGGAGACGGTACAGATGGATTTGTCCCCGCTGCTTTGACCTGGCGTGACATTCTGTAATGAGATAATTGGAATAATCAATCGATAATTTCCGACTTGACGGTAATATAATACATATAGTCGATTATTGCGCGATAACACTCTTAAAATAAAGTTATTCCGTAATTACTCTCGTTTTAAAGGATAGGAACCATTAGAAAAGTAAAAGTTGTCCAGCACCTTAGGGTGAAAAGTACGTTTCCAATGCTAAGCTCCCTGCATTCGGTAAGAGAAATTGATCCAGTCTTAACGTATACAGACTTTATCTACAATTTTTTTGCCTCATTAGTTGGATAGAAGTGTGTTAGAAATGTCTGGAATAATGAAGACAACTATTTTCAAGTTTCGCTGGCGATACCAATTTTCGCAGCGAGCGAAAAAGTCAAGACATCATTAACTCTCTCTTTCTGTAAAGTGACACCGTTCCGTATTTCGTATCGACCTAACTTTTCTTCTCCACAATTCTTACATTCGTGTTGACATTTTGTTTTCGTGTTTCCCAAGTTAAATGTTGTCATTACGCCAAAGTCGTTTACGAGAAAGGTGAATTTAGAAATTTAAATAGTCTTCTTTTCCATAATAAATTCTCTACATGCACAAGTCTTTTTTCTAAAGAATTAAATTAAATATTTTACATATATACATTTTACTTCTTTCTATTTATAAAAAAGCAATTTTTTTAAATTTTATATATTCTATTTTTTATGTTTGATGTAAATATATTAAGATTTATTGAAATCCGAAATTTTGTTTACGTTCTTGTCTCTGACAATGCATCACGTCTTATACAACGTCAAACTTAGATATATTTTTTTTAAATAAATTTTACATTCTTAGATACAATATTATAGATTTAATATTATTAATAATTACATAAGTTACTGATTTTTATTCATTTCAGAGATTAAAAAAGAATTTTCTTAAAGATTTTCTACAACAAACTTCATTAATTTTATGATATTTAAGTTTATTTTTATGAATTCCTTACAGAAAAATATATTAAAGTGTTTTTATATTAGAAAATATTATTTTCTAATATACTTTAATTTAATANTAATTAGAAATAATTAAATAAAACTAGTTTCTGAATATTTTATTATAAAATGATTTAAAATTAGTTAATAAATAAGTAATTAATAAAAAAAAGAAACATCAAATTACTAGATAATTTTATAAAATTTAAGTTTATTTTGTTTAATAAAATTGTAATTTGACATTTAATTTTAATAACACGTTTACAAATAAAATTCGATCGTATTTATTTTTTTTCTATTGTAACGTTATAAAATATATTTATACAGCATAACAGCTTGATAGGGGAAAGAAAAACAAAATCAAGATAAAAATTTGTTCTTTAATTTTTAAACTCAAGAAAGCAGTTTTTCTACAACACAAAAGAGCATTGTTACTCGCTGATGATAGGAAGAAACAAAATAAAAAGTCAGTTCATCTTTTATAAATCGTATTAGTACATTCAATAGAAAATTAAAAAAAAATACTCTTTCTCGCTGAATTTGAAGGAATAAACTGATTTTTATCACAGAAAATATATATTTTTTTCTTTTTTCTTAAAGCCAGAAAATAGAAAAATCAGAATTTTTAACTCGATACTATTGTTAATTTTTAATAAATTCACTTCCTACTTTATTAAATACTTGTTAAATCTTATCTATTTCCAGTATATGTATTTTTAATTATTTCTAACAATTCGAGATAGGCTCTAAACATATTATTATTATTTTAATCTGAGTCTGTGCTATTACAGTACGTATAAGACGTAGATATACCTGGTAAAATGTCTATAAAATTGAAGTATTTTTTTGGAAGAAAGGTTTGTGTTTGCAGAAACAATTGTTGAGAATTTCCTGGATCGAATCAGTATAGCCTCTTCTGTTAAAATGCAACTGATGTATTCATGTCATTCGCTTTACGTATACAAGATATTGTAGATGTTTCTCTCATATCCCTAGCAAAAGAGGACGAAGGAGAATATCGAAGGGGAAAAAAAGAAAAAAAAAAACTCTTTTGGTTGCAAATTAGTTTTTTGCTCGTCACTTCTTTATAGAAGATGGAAACTGCATGCAAACTAGGAATTTGACTCATGTCTGTCCCCAGTAACGTATATGTTTATGGATGTAAGCAAATGTGAACGAAGTTGGCTACGGAATAAGTTCTTGACTTCCAAAATTTCGAATACTCTCTCATCACCTGGATAAAATATGTGGATGTAGATTTAAATTCTCAATATCTATGTTCTACCCACTTAAATCTAAAGTGAAATCATTTTTTTCCAGATTTTTTTTATGTAACCCGATTAAACTATGATAACTACGTAAAAATGTCAATAGGACTTTTTTATAGCTGAATAATAAGTCTAGCAGAACGTGATGCTAAAAATTTTCATATTTAATATTGAAAATTCAAGATGGCTAGCCTCTTTATGTCGGTTTGCATGCAGAATATCCGGCTTAAAATTTATTTTTATTCCCATCGAGTGGTTCTTATTTGACAAACCACTTGTGATATGTACGTTCTAAATTTTTCAATAGTTTTTATACTGTTTATTCTGGTTATTTTACAGAATTAAAGAAGAAAGTAATCTATGTTCATATCATACGTAAGAATTCGAGTGTTCTGAACATTTTCTACAGTTCGTTATCTAATAGCGAAGTAATAAAGAAATGGACTTTGCTTATCTCTTAAGATAGTTCTAAAAATACTTTTTCGATTTTCTACTGAAGTTAAGTTCAATCTTTTTCTTAAAACTGATCGTCGTAACAATAAAAACTGACTCATTTGCTGACTCATCGAGATGTTAGACATTTTCAAAAATTAGATTAGCTATAAATCACCAGGTGGAAGTTAAAAATAAAATAAAATAAAGTATTTTGTAAATTTACCGGTTCTTTTTTCTACAAGATTTTTATTTTGTCGAATTAATAGATTAAATATTAGCATAAAATATATGAAAGTTAAAATAACAATCGTCACTTGTTAAATACGGCGGATACAATAATAGCACGTTGAAAAGCTGATGAAAAAGAAATGAAGTTCTTCGAAAACAATACGTGGTTTTCACTCACAAAAATAAAAAATAAATAAATAAAAAATAAAAAAGCTAATTTTCAAAGGGAAAAAACTAAAGTTATAATGTTAACTATCATTTTTTATTGAAAAAACTGGGAAAAAAAATACTGAGTTCATAGAGAAACCGTCTCCTTTTTTCCACTTCGACTAAACGATTCGACTAAACCAAAACCAAAAAGAAAAGAAAAAAAAATTGGAAGATTTCCTCTCTTGCTGGAAGGTAGCGAAGCTGATTAGAAGTAGTTTTTGCCTATCCGGCCAAACTATTGTGTTTCAATTAAACAGTACATTAAATTTTATGTTAGAATTGATGGTTTTCTGCTGATAGTAAATGAGAAACATCCAGCTGTAGAATTACCGAAACAATCAATTGTGTTCTACTCCAGAACAGAGTTTCAATCGATTTTACTCTCGGATGTTCCATCAGAGATTTTACATTCAAATTGGATCTCAAGAAATTCCGAAATACTCGGATTACTTGGTAAATTACACAACCTCTTGTAATTATCTCATTTTAATAACACCCTTTTACAAACAGATTTGTAATAGAAGAATATCTACATTTTGGAAATTACTACTTTGAAGATTTGATTTATTCTCGGCAAGTTTTGTTTGCTACCTCTTTTATAGGCAATAAGAAAAATTGTCAATAAAGATCTTGCTGCGTTTTTTCCATGTCACTTTACATACATCGTTTGTTAAGAGTTACATCGTCTGTGAGAGTTAATTCTTGTTTTTTTTCTTTATTAAAAAAAAGCTTTAAAATTTCTGTAAATTTTAATTGTAATTTAATACTAAATTTAACGTTCTTCTGCTTACAAGCCCTCATCTGATGAGGACTTTTATATCGAAAGATGCAAAGAAGTTTGAATATATCTTTCTGACCTTTATGCCTTATTAATTGCAATTCAACTTTTTAATGTGTGCAATAATGTGTGTACTGTATATATATAAGTTTCTATTAAATATTTATAAGAAAGATCACGGCAGATACAAAGTTACCGTCTTTTAAAGCTGAACGAAAGAACTTTCTATGAAAAGAATTAAATAAATGTAAACTTTTTCCTCGAATTTAATAAAAATAACGTTTATAATACTCAATGAAAAAGTAATTTTTGTATGTTAAATCCCATTGAAAAATAAATTTTTATCTTAGAACCCAATGAAAGTAAATTGTTTCCTAGATCTTAAATGAAAGTAATTTTCCCTAATGAAAACAGTTTTAATCTCTTGAATAAAATAGTAGACTCATTAAGAACCTCGTCTAGTCTAAGAATCATTTTCTACAAAGTAAAATTAGAAGTAAATTTAAGTAGAAAGAACGATATCATTGTTGAAAATTATCAACTGAATTAATATTGCGCACCTTTAATAACCTGGAGAATGTGAACCGCGCTCCACGCGTGAACTGCAGACGTCGGAGAAAGTCGATGGACGAAATACGTCATCCGGTTCAAAGTGGATGTCACGTGACTGGAAACGTCAATGGAACCAGTGGCCACACCTGACAACAGGTGATTGATTCGGTCGCTACAAAGTAAACTTTCTAATTAAACCTCTAATAGCAGCCACAAACTTAAGTAACCGAACTTAAAGGTGATTTTCTTCTTTCACTTCCCCAGGAATATCAATTTATGTCGCTAAAAGTTAAATCCGTAGAGAGAGGAAGAAAGAGAAAAGTCTGTTCCGCGTATTCTTCACAAAATAATACTTTTCCAGCCTAACAAAAGATAATAGCATTATAACAATCTCTTCTCTATTTTGTTACTAGTACAGGTATTAGATTAGAGGAGGGGAAAAAAGAACAGGAATCTAAACAAAGATCCGGATGGCGCTAACAATTCAAACATTAAATACAAAGAATTAATTGAAAATAAATGAATTTAACGAACTCACCAGGTAGTCGTTCCGTAATTATACGCAAGACG